TTCCTCTACATCCCTATCTCACAAACACACACACACACACATACCCACACATAACACCCATACACATACACACACACACACATACCCACACATACATAACACCCATACACATACACACACACACACATTAACGCACACAGACGGACGTGAACTATACATGCACGTACACATACACATAAATACGTGCATATATACGAACACATAATTCATATACATAGGTGTGCATATATACTTGTAAACAGACACACTACTTATGCATATATATATATATGATCTGAACGAACGTAATTACCGAGCATTCCAAACTTTGAGAGTAAGTTGAATAGATTGGATAGTTTAATAGTTTATATGCAAATAAATTTACAGGTAATGCTATTATTTGAGTTATTGCTATTATTTGTAGAATGCCTCAATCCATCCATTAATGTAATCCATACTTTCTTTTCTCAATTAATTCCTTCCCTTATTTTATTTATTTAGAAATTTTTCATGCGGATTTTCGGTTTTTCCTATTTTCTGAAATGGGAAAAAAGTTTTCTTTCCTTTCCACAAAATTTTAGCACGATGGAACCAGTTGTGTTATGGGTGAAAGCAGGATCAGATGGTGTACGCTTAGGTGGTGATCCACTATGTCATCAAATTTTTATGATGCTAATCGAGAAAAGCCTTCATCCTGATTCTGATCTCATGTAAGTTTTCCATTTCATCATGCAAATTCATTTTATTTTATTGTACAAAGTTATATTATTAGCTAATATTGTTCTGACAAACTTTTCCCCTTCCCTTCTTTTCCCCGAAATATCGTTCTTCTTCACGATTTTATCATCCAAGCATATATATATATATATATGCTTGGATGATAAAATATATATATATATATAAGCATATATATATATATATGCTTGGATGATAAAATATATATATATATATATACAAGGTTATATATATATAAGGTTGCATTAACTGGAACAGCTTAATTACCGATACTAATCGAAGCTATTATCCGAAAAGTATAATCATTATTTGTTCAGCAGTCATATCATCTCATACTTTCATCATTAAAAAATCTGATAATTCTGATTGAAAATTGTTGTGAACTATTAAATTGTTAAAGTACGTACGAAATCTCAAAAACGATTTCAATATTACAGATTCAGCGTCAAAACAGTCAGTGAAGCGAAACCTCCACCAGAATTTCGTGAGGTGAATTCTTTTCTCTCTGATTTGTAATTTAATTCTTGAAATCTTCAGGAAATTTTCAATTTTAAATGCTTGTACATGACGTACATAAATGCAACGGAAGGAGTAAATTGAGATCTTGCAAATGTGACTGGAAAAAATCTGCGTTAGATTATAAAATAGCACTTTTTTTTAAAAAGAGGATCTTTTATTTGAATTACCTTCCTGGCATTAGGAATATAAAAATGTGATCCAAACAATGACGGGTTAATGGGTTAACTCTCCAAGACTTCTATTGTGAGAAGTTTCCGTTTTTCATTCTTGGGACATTAAGAAAGCTAATTATTAAGTTCAGGAGATTGAAGTGATGATTGTTTACTTATCTCACACTTATTTACTCCGCGCAATTTCTGGGCACTCATTGTAATCTAGTCTGAAGTCTGTTTTTCATTCTTTTCAATAGCAATGAAAAATGATTTTGAAATTAGGATGATCTTACATAGATTTTTAAAACTAAATAAGAAGTAATTGTTGATTTGCAGATTGGTTTAAGGCATGCTCCAGCGTTGCAACACGGTGATGACTTAGTATTATCTCATCAGGATGAAATTATTGATTACATCGACCGAGAGTTTCCAATACCATCATTGAAATGCGAATGTTCCGCTGCTTCAGCTGCTACTGCAAATCTTTTTCGTTCCTTCGCATTTTTCATCAAAGAAGTTAATACCGATCCAAAGGCACGTGAAATTCTTTATGCCAATTTCAGGAATTCCCTATTCCTTTTAAAAATCCAAAACTTTTTATATACACTTTTTCAAGTGTTCTATTACAAATGAATTTTTTCTATATCAAAATCTACTTATTTTCGAGACAAAAGATCAGGAGACATTTTGTTTTGCGACACGAAATTACTATTATTTATTTATTATTATTGTTATTATCAGGCTTTGAATATGGAACTGATACGACTGGATCGATATTTTGATAATAGAAGTACACGATTTCTGGCAGCTGATCATTTAACTCATTTGGATTTCTATATTTTACCCAAATTACATACCATTCGGATTGCCTTAGGTGCATTGAAAGGATACGAAATACCAACCAATTTACACAATTTATGGGGTTACATGAAACGCGGTTATGATATGGAATCATTTCGGAAAAGTTGCCCAAGTGATCAGGTTGTTTTTTTGTGCGTCACTCTTTCAAAATTCTAACCAGTCAATGAACAAAGAATGGGCTAAATAGAATGATTAGTAAGATAGCTAAAATTATGAGGCCTTTTCTCCCCGAAAAGAATTGGTGATTAGCTGCGATGATGACTGTGTTTTCACCAGTATTCTGCGCAGTAATATATTTAAGCAAAATCTTCAGCCATGAATTCCTAGTTGCTGTCAGATATAAATTTCAGGTTTGTCTCCTTCTCAGACTACAGATAGCAGTAGGATGTTGCAGTTAGATGATTTAAAATAACTGTTGAGGTGTAGTGTCATATATAGCTTAGATAAGTTTTGCGAAACGTGAATCTAGTATGTTTGTTAACTACCATCGATTACTTTCCTACAGTTGTGCTACCGCATAACTTCGAATTTTTGAAAAATTTTTTTCTTATGCTATCATTTTTCTCTTGTTATTTATCGTTTACACCTGGCCTGGCTAAACTCCCAACTTTTTTGTCGTTTTTTTGGAAAATATGCTTACTACGAATGTAGAAAAGTAATCAAGAAAATAACTTGAAATTTGTATCATTCTGTTCTTGTTTATAGGAAATTATACTATATTGGGCAGAACGACCAGATACCCCAAATCTAACATCACAGAAGCGATCTCAGTTATATCGCCAGAAAACTAGCTACAGTTGGGATATTCCGATGGATGCTCAAAACGGTGTAATCAAAAAGAACGGTTGATTAGCTAATGCAAATCAATCAATATTCTGAAATTTAATGAACATAAATTTATTGTATAATAGAAATTGAAACTGCACACATAAATTTTAATTATGTTTGATTATATTTTGCATATATAAATCGCATATAAATTTATAGCAAAAGTATTTTTTCTTTATAGCAAAAGTATTTTTTTTTGCCAATATATCAACAAATTTCATTTCTTACAAATTTTATTTCCTTTAAAATTGTTACCACTTGCAAGAAGAGAAGATTGGCCATTCCCAGTAAATTAATTAAGAAAAATATGATTCAGGAAAATGTAAATGAAAAAGAACATTTGAATTTAAAGTTATCGGTATATTTAGCAGCATAAATATGGATTAGGAGATTTTTTCTGGATGTTGAAATTGTGGAAATTTGATCCTTGTACTACATTAACCTTCAGGTTGTTGGAATTGAGGATATTCTGCATGTATACTACGTTAGTTGTTTCTTTAGTTTAGTGATATATTGATTGATTTCTATCCTTTGAATTACTTGGTTGATAGCTGATATGGTACCAAGAGAGATCGATTAAGAGGATATTCTGAATTTTTCGTATAAAAGCAATTCGCTTCCCGTAAAAGTTTTTTTACATCGCAATCTAAAAAGCGGTATCCATTTTGTTAAAGATAAATATTATCCTTTTCTGTTGAAGAAGCTAAATTTTAATAGATTTTGGATTTGAACTAGTACCATAGTTGTTGTATGTTATCAAATATTGGTAATGATTTTTTTGTAAGAGAAAAAGAGATATTCGATGGAACAAAAAAGAGAATGTATCATGATAGTGTTTGTATGAATGATAATATTAATAGTAACCATAAATCGAAGTTTAATTATAAAAAGTTGTCGAAAAATTAAGAAAAAGGCTTGAATATTCTGGGAAAACCATCTTGCATATATGGTATCATCACTGTGTTTATAATAGAAATCGTAATTCACATATTAATTATTTGGTATGAAATGTTAAACGTGTTATCTGTTTGTTTCATTGTCGACTAATATGCAAAATAAGAAAAATCTCTGAAATATGTTTCTGTGCGTTTATTTGGAAAATCTCAAGTACACTTTGTCCGTATTTTTTTCGCTATAAACCTGTATCTCGTTTCTTGTAAATGTGTGCTATGAAATATTGATAAAGAGTTTTAACAATGCTTTATATTCTTTTCATTTCTCTTGTAAATATAGCAAATGAAGAATGATAACAATGATAACTTGAAATAGAAAATTTAACAGCAGGAAGTGATGATGTTTGGGAAGAAAGTGAGGAAGGTCAGTTTTGCAAATATTTAATAATAAAAGAGCCCGAAGGGATAGAAATAAAGTGAAAGGGGGAGATACAAATTATTCGGAATTCTGAATGTATGGTTAGCTTTCCTTATCTGATTTATTGACGTGAAATTGTTCTCCACGTTTTAAAGGAGGAAGGATTATCATCTTAAATCACTTGTTTGTTCAATAAAGTTTCATTTCCAGAATATTACGAAAGATGAATCACAAGGATGAGTTAATATTACGAGGGAGTCATAAATGTGTACATAACTTCTGATAAGGGATTTCAAACTAGGATTTCATCACAACTCGACTATTTTATGTTCAAGAAAACAAGATCCTAATCTAGGACCCCAAAAAAATATCGGATAATCCCAAATGGAAACTAAATTTGCATGGTGACCAAACAAACGTGAACTAAATCTGAGCAATTTCCAAATTCTGCGGGGAAGGAGAGCTGAGTCGAGGAACGAGTGAGCGGGTGGGAGTGAGATTTAGGAGGCTTCGGAGTTTTCGAAATTTTGGAGTTTTCGAGATTCGTTCAAGTATTATAGTAATTGTAACTTTTCATTACTATAATACTTTTCAGATATCTACATTAATAACAACATGGCTGAATACGACTTGACTAAAAAGATGGCACCGTTTTTCGACCTTCATTTAGTTATACCACTGTTGGAATTTATTGAACCAAGGAATGTGAGTTAATTTATAGTGAAAATTTAAAGCATTTGTTCATTTTTTTTGTTTTGCTCTGAATTTGAACATAATTTTCTTGAAAAATTTTGTACAGTTCAGTCATACAGATCAAAACATAATATATATGTGGTTACTTGACGTAAACACGTTGTATTTTGATAAGTGAACGATATATATTTGAGGCTTGATCACTTTTTGGCTTTCCAAACTTTTGCTGCTTAGATATTTTATGTATAACTTGCTTAAATGCCATGCGCTGGATGTCATCTTACATTTACTTAATGAATTTTACATTTTATTGTTATTCGTGATTTGTCGGAATCATTCTTTCAAATAATAAAATCATTTTTTCCAGATTTATGATCACGATTCACTGATTAAAGTACATCGTCGAGTTTTGCTGAAAACGAATATGATTGATAGCGTAATTGAAACATACTCAGAAGGTGAAATACCAAAGGAGTTAGAGCAGCGAAAAGTTGAAATCCTCAGTCAGGTATACTTTAACTTTTAATATTTAATAGTTTTGAGCTTACTGTTGAAATTGTCAAGCTTTGTATATCATATTAACTTTAGTCAATTTTTTATTCAAAGAATTTATAAATGATGTTTCTGTTTTGTAAGGTTCTCGAATTTTATTGATTGGAATAATTAATGTAATTAACCCGTTATTTATAATTTTCCGCTGTACTTCATGAATATATGTATTTTAGAATGTTTTTACTTTTTAATTTGATGTCGACTTAGAAAATCGTGTTACAGCGTGAAAAACTAAAAGTTAAAGTAGATCCAGTTGTGGAAATTCTGGAATCAGAACCAGTGAAAGCAATGATGGACAGCCATGAATTGACGAATAATCGAATTCTTGAATATGTTACTGCAAATCATGGGGTAATTTTATTCATGATAACTAGAATTTTGCCCGCTTTTTTTCTGAGGTTAAAATGTAGTTTGCCTGCTGTAGTTGCTAGACTTATAGTAAGTTGTTACCGTTGCAGTTGCTAGACTTATAGTAAATTACCGCGTTATAGAAAGAATAGTCTAGGATTTTAATATCTTGTTAAAGTTGGAGTCAGTTCGTAGATGGAAAAATAGATGATAATGAGAAGCAAAAAATGAAGAAGATATTCTGGTAATATATTTATTCTGAATTGTTTTTTAGAAGCTGGTAAACATTATAGAAATTCACTATTTCTTACAGCTTACTGAGGAGATGCTTGACTCGTTGTTTCGCTATGCCAAGTTCCAGTACGAATGCGGCAATTATTCAGCTGCATCTTTATGTCTTGATTACTACCGTAATATTATACCGCAGCAAAATCCAAACTATCTCAGTGCATTATATGGCAAATTGGCTTCTGAAATATTGCTGCAAGTAAGTATACGTGAGCTGATTAAGACTTCTGTGAAACTATCAAGTGATGAAATTGATAAGTGATGGGCAAAATAGGAATTCTGGACAAGCCGCAGTCTTAGGTTCATGGTTTTGTGATTTATCGAAAATCATTTTCATTTTTCATTTTCATTTTTTTGGAAGAATTAATTTCATTTCGTGAAAAAAAGTCAGTGAAAAAAAGATACACTGATATGCTTCGAAAATCTGAAAAATTTTGTTATCTTTTGCCAGGAATGGACGCACGCAAAAGATGATTTGACCAAACTGCGAACATATATTGATTTTAATCCTTTTGATACCGAATTAGAATCAGTGCAGCAGCGTGCATGGTTAATGCATTGGGCTTTGTTCGTTTATTTCAATTATCCGAAGGGACGTGATGAAATTGTTGAGATGTATCTTAACCAACAGCCGTATTTGAACACAATACAGGTAATTCTTTAATGCTATATATTTCTTATGTATATTCTGCAAAAATGTTTAGAACCTATTGCATAAACAAAACCTATTTTTTTTCCCATTTTTTTGTTTAATTTCTGCGTACATGATATAGTATTCTACACTATTTTATTTCTCATAATTCACAAAGTGCAACATTCAGAATGTTCATGTTGGTTTCTATTCTTTTCACTTTAGCAACTTTATTGTGTTGGCATAATATTTATAATATAGAATTGTTAATGTTCAAGACACTGTTTTCTTGAGTTTGAAAAATCTAAGCAATATGTTTTGTGTGTCCCTTTAGATAGCTTGTCCGCATCTTTTGCGATATTTGGCCGTAGCAGTTGTGACGAGCAAAACGAAACAGAAAAACAGTTTGAAAGATTTGATCAAAGTAATTGATATTGTAAGTTATTTTGTTGTAGCATACCTACAATAAATATAGGACAAAATAATTAACGATTAAAAAATAAATTGTTTCGAGCTTATAAATTTTGCATGTAGCGTGATTAAGAGTACACCGATTACATTATTTCATTACGCATCACTTCGGTTATTTTATTTTTTCAAACAATTAATTTTCGATTATTTAATTTCATGATTTATCACTAATCAGTTTTAATTCAAGGAACGACATAATTATGAGGATCCAGTTACAGATTTCTTAACTTGCCTTTATATTAAGTATGATTTCGACGAAGCGCAGAAAAAGCTGAGAAAATGCGAAGATGTTAGTTATTTCCTTTTAAATGCTTATTAAGGTCCTTCTGTTGAAATAGAGATTCCCAAAACAAGTACGGAGTTTCACGGTAGTTTCAGGTTTTATCAAATGATTTTTTCCTGACTGCTTGCTTAGAAGATTTCCGAGAAAGTGCCAGATTGTTGATTTTTGAAATGTTCTGCAGAATTCATCAATGTATTTCGATACAAATGCTTGCCGAGCGTCTTAACATGCAACAAGTACGCATTTTTTTTTTGTAATTAAGTTGTGTTACAAAGTAGAGCAATATAAATTCATAGATTAATTCAGTACACTAAATAAATTTTACAAAGTTTATTTCCAATTGTTTTTACGAGATCTGTATTCCAGGTAGAAGCAGAAAGATGGATTGTTGATTTAATTAGAACATACCGTATTGATGGTGCTAAAATTGACTCCAAACTTGGACAGGTATAACTATTGATATTGCTTTTAAATAATAATAAAGCTATTCATGCTGTAAAAAAGGACTGTAATAATTTTTCGTTATGAAAGTTGGTGTAAAGTAAGAAGTGGTGTTAAATATTTAGAATGATATTTTGTTTTAATTTGTATTTTCATGGCTACGCAATTTGTTTTAAAGGTTGTTATGGGTGCTAAAACTACCTCTGTTCATGAGCAAGTGATGGAAAATACGAAGCGGTTGACTTTTCGCGCGCAACAAATCGCTCTACAACTAGAAAAAATGAAATTCGACAAGAAGGTTTGCATCATCAACTTCCTTATGAAGAATGTTGAGATTCCTAAACATTTCACTTTGACGGTTGCGGAGGTTGTCGTACCCACACATATAGTATTATTTTCAGGTTGTTGGTGGACATCATTTATCTGATTTTTTAAATGGAATTTCATACCTAAATTTTCAAATTCCAGGGCACTTGGAAGGCTGAATTATCATGATAATAATTTTATGGAAAATTGTTTGTGGTCAGCTGATTGTATTTCTGTGCTTAGAGGGTTTTTTGCTGCTCATCTAAATTGTTTCGGAATTTTGATATCGCCAGGCTTCGGGACCTTTTCTTCGTTCCTGTCGTGGATTAGATGTAGAATAGTGGAAACTATTCATATTCAACATCGATTTTTTCGCCGGTGATTTTATTTCATTCATATATCGTTCTTTCTTCAAATTTTTGGTAGAATATTGGATATTAGATGATCTATTCCACAAAATGAAGAAACATGATTTATAATGGGAGTCATTCAATCAACAATACAGAATTTGGTCTTCTGTCTGTAAACTGTAATTCACTGTAAATTCCACTTCATGTGACTGATATAAATTGATTGAAGGTTATGTGTTTTGAAACTATCGATGCAATATCAGCTTTGAGGTATTAAGAGAATATTAAGTTTTATTGAGTGGAAACGACTTAAACTTTATGAATAAATTGGATTATTTCGATTGAATGATTTCCGCAGTATGACAGTACTCTTGTGCCGAATAGGGAAGAGTGCTCGTTAGCTTGCTCTCTCTCCAAGAATTTATATTGATATTAACAATTTATAAATGATATAACTAGAATGAATTTTATTCTGAATTGAATTATTCAATTGTAGAAAAGAATTATATTAAATTCTGCTATCTTTTAAGAATTACACAGAAATTAACGAAATTGTACTGAAAGGTGTTTAAATAAGCTCAGCTTTGGTTAATTCTAAATTGATCCAGTTTTTCTAATGAAAACTGTTTCATTAAGCTTTCTTGTTTAATGTTTTATTACTGTGTTTCCGTTCGTTCGGTGTTTTTATTGTTGCTGGATAAAAAAGATTAAATCGAAATAATGCAGTTTCTTTTTTACGTTCTAAATTTCTTTGCATGCTACATTTTCAGAGCCAAGTTGTATTTGGAGTTGATTAGTTGCTAACAATTCTTCTGGCTAATTATGATATTGAACGTTTGGTGATTTGTGAAGTGAACCAAAAAAGAGACAAGCCTTTATCACTGATCCTAGAATTAGTCTATGTATCATGAAGATGGTGAAGTGATATGGATATGTTTATATATGCTGTTGTCAGTCATTTAGTACTTTTCAATATTAGGAGTAATGAAGTCATTGACATTTTACATCATCGCAGCGTCAGCTTATCAAATGACAATCGGGATATTTGACAAATGTATTTATGGAATTACTGAAAATGTTCTGTATTTGGCAATAGTGATTTCAGTCAGTCATTTCATTTATCCTTCAGTTCCTCTGATTCATCTATACTTGATGTTGACAGTGAGCTTTGATCTGTTTCGTTGCTATAATCACTTTCGTTGCTATTTTTGTCATTAGAACTTGCGATGCTTCTATTATCACTTGACTCAAAATAAGTTGAATGATCTGGAACAAAAAAAGAAGCACTTGAAGAGAATTTGAATTACTGAATTAATTCACCAGAGATTTGTGAGTTAAACATGACGGTCAATTCAATCCAAGTTTAGTTACACGTCCATTATTACATAAGATAACATAACAGGAAGGTGATCAAAACCTTCACTATCAGGCGAACTACCAGCCTTCTCACGCTGTTTTTTTGATTGCTTACTTTTGCTAGATTTTGTTGTATTGCCTGAAATAAAATAATACTTTATTGCTTTCATAAAAGTAAATTTATCTTTGCATTTTCGACTTTTTTGTTTTACGAAATTTATTAGCTTTAATTCTTTTCTTTCATTGCTATTTTACATTTAACCGTGATAATTACTAATTATTCAATAATACTTATTTATAATTAATTTAAATATATACTTCCTAGCATTAGCATTTCTTTCTCATTCTCTCTTTCTCTTTCCTATTCCTTTGCAATAAAAAATTTTAAAACTAATTTTATTTTTAAATAATGAAGAAATAAGATGAAATCTGAGACATTTTATTTTATTTAAAAATTCACATTTAATAAATAAACTTCTGTTGCACATTAATTAGCAACTTCTATTTTAAACTCATTAAAAATTATATTCTATTCAACTAAAAACTTTTACTTTAAATTTATTCATTCAAAAGAATGCGATCGATGTAAATCTTTCAATGAGTAAAGTAAAAGAATTACAATTTTTTCTATATCTTACCACTTTCATCCTTTGATATTTTCATTTCATCCGCCTTTTTTTTGCTTGCAATTTCTTTCTTTTCTGAAAATTATCACAAATATATTCATTTGATTAACATAGAAATTAAGCAATGGAAATTTTGATGAAATTTTATAAAAGCATTTTGCTAATTCTGGCGCTTTATTACGTTTTTTATGTATCTGTAATTAATTGAAATGTGTAACATTGCGTTTACATATGTATTTATGTGTGTGTTTTTCTTTTAACTTTTCATAATATAAATTTAGCATTAAATTATATTATTAACTTTCTAATAACAAAAATTTACAATAGTTAAAAATAGATAAATAAAGATAATTAAATGATTCAATTATAGTTATTTTAACAATAATTGATATAAATGAAACATACTTTCATCGTCATTCATATAACTTGCCATACGTTCAGCACGTGTTGTACGTCGTCTTTGTGTAACAACAAATTTGGAATGTTTTAAATTTTTACCTTCGCTGTACATTTCACTTTTTTTGTCATCCTTTGCTTGTAATGATAATGATTCTAAAAATCCATCCTTTTTCCTTTAATTTATCTATAATAAAGTTACTGAAGATGTAACTGACAAATGAGTAATCTTATAATCCAATAAAATTTTTCAAAAGAAAAAAATGAAATTTACAAATTTTATTAATTACTTGGTCTGGCTGTAATATAGGATGCTTTAACAGGTGGTGCTTTTCTTCGATATACAATCTTTCGACTTGGTACTCTAATACTGAAACAAGGAAAAATTTTCTCATAACGATTTTGAAATATTAATTATACTATTTTTATTTTGTGTTAGTTTAGTTTTGCTGACGTATTTCCCGCAATATCGAACACTTAAAATTGCCAAAATTCGCCTTCTCATGCAATATGCAACGTTTAAATTCCTCAGAAATATTCCCACGCACGTAATATGAAAAGCTTAAAATTGTTGAAATTAAGAATTTTGAAAATGAATTATTAAACAATAAATCTTTATAATTTATTTGCATGAATGTGATATCATTCATCAATATCATTCCACTTATTTCACGTTTCACACGTCTTTTTTTATTCTAAATTTTTTAAATCATACAGAAATTGTGCTTGACTGCTTCTATTGCCACATCGTTTGTATGAGTTATGTTCGGTTAAGACACATACTCGAAGAGAGTTGGTATTATTAAAAGTATAATGAGCAAATGCTGACATCTAAAATTTATAAAAATTTATTTATTTTTCAACTATTGTTAAAATATATGAATGTAATTAGCAAAAAAAAATATAATTAACAAATATGTTTAAGTGATCAATCGATATTTTATGAATTAAATGTCAATTTAAAACTATGCTAACAGAAACCCTTACATATTATTTCTTTATCTTTTTTGTTTCATTTTTTTTAAATAAAAAGCATTTACTATTTGTGCATATTTAGACATATTGTCGATAAGCGTAAATAGATCAAAACGTTGATCAGGCGTCAAATTAACAATGCGTATGCAACGTAATACCAAATGAGAAAAATGAACACGTTCCGGTTTAGCAGCTAACCATGTAATACTTGCTTCTACGACATCATATTCATTGCTTATATTTAAGTCACATCTGCAAAATTTGATCAGATATTTAAATCAATTACTCATCCATTCAAAATCGATAATTACAATTTAAATCTGCTATATGTATAAATTATTTCAATTAATTGATTAATCATTTAAACTAAATCAAATCTACCAAATTAAATGCCTAATTCAAGAAAAAAAATTATCACAAATAAATCAATTCAAAAAATAATATGAAACCGATCCAAAATACGAAGAATTGCATCAAGTGGAATATCACTAAAAGATGCCATCTTCCGGATAATCGGAAATTTATTAACAGCAATATCAATAACTTTTCTTCCTAACGATGTATCCAATAATATTTGCACACAAATCATTGTTAATGTATGCACCAAGAATTGTTCATTTTGTGTTACCGATATTAAAATAAACTGAACGTATGAAATGAAAGAATATCAAAATATCTATTTTAATATTAAATTTAAACAATTTGAAAAAGCATTTAATCACTGATACATATTTCATTTGATAGCATAATTCGTTAATTTGATTACATATTTTATTTTAAATATTCATTTATTTATTTCGTTAATTTATTCTAATATATTTTTTAAATTGTTCGTTTGAAAAAAAAAAATTTCATTAGCGCTATTGTTTCTATTCAAAAAAATGTTAATTATTGAAGCTAATTAAATGAGGGAAGTGCGAAATTTTTCATTTACTTCTTCAATTTTTTTCAATAAAGATTCCATTTCTAAAATACGGGCAATTTCTGTCATATCGCCAAGAATCGAACTTGTAATTCGAGCCTTAGTATTGCCACCATTTATCATATAATCAACTAAAGTTGCTACTGCTACCACATCGTAATTTGATAAATCCAATCTTTTCGGTACTTTACCATCACGTTCTAACTATAATTAAAATTTAAAAATTTATAAGTTTGTTTAATCATTCTGTTTTTTTGTTCATTGAAGGATTAAAAATTTAACATTATTGAATTGAAATTTCAGATTTTAAAAGTTTTATTTCGAAAATGAAAATTAAATGAATAACATTTGATGATAAATTCTCAATAGAAATTATTGTGTTTAATCAATTTTCCGAACCTTTTCAATTTTTTTGGAATATTCTTTAAGCAAATCGATGTCAATGATAAAATCATCTCTGTGACTGTGAAAAATTACTTTTCGAATTTTCTCTGATCTGAACTGAATTAAATGAAAGAGAAAAATTGTTGTTAATTAATAATTGAAATATTCTATTATATTCAGAAGTACAAATATTAAAACAAAGATTTATTATTTTAAGAAATAATACAGAATAATATTTTATATATAAAATTCATTTGATAAGAAAAATAAAAGGAATAAGAAAGGGAACTTTGGTTTGTTTGACTCTGTCATTTGTCAACCGCTTCCTATGAGGACAAAATATCGATGAAATCTTTTGTAATTTCAGTTTCACAACTTTATATTATCTTGTCATAAAACTTTTCTCTCTTCATTTATGCAAATTTTTTGAAATAAAACTAAAAAAAGATAATTAAACGCAAAAAAAATCGATCAATAAAAATATTATTCAAACAATGCTAATGTTTTTTCGAATTTATGATGAAAAATGCAGCGAAATAACATTTTTTATCATTTTTTTGAAACAATTTATCTTTCATTTTACGAAAAATTCTAAAATTAAAATATTTATTGACAGATATGATAAGGATATTGAATTCATTTGATGAATCATTGTATATTAATTATCAGTGGATATATTATTTAAATGTAATTGTGGTCTTTTAACTGATATTGTTAATCTTTATTGGAATACATCAAATTTATTTTCAATTTTTTTCTTTCCATTTTTCAAATGATAGTTATATATCAATAGTTCCAAAAAAGTGTACTGCGAAGACAATAATTGTTACAGTTCTGTTCACGCTGATGAAATAAATGAACTTTTGGTATTTGTTCTGTAAAACAAAAGATGATATGAAAATTATAACAATAATCTTAATAACATTTATGATCAAAATTGCTATTATTATTAATATCATTATTGTTATTACCATGATAAAAAGTAATAATCTTATAGTAAATAGCACTGAAAGTAATCATTATTAATGTGAAATCGTCGACATTTGCCATTTCATCATTTATTCCGCTAGAAAAATTGTTTTTTCTTTTCTTCAGGCAATTTAAGAAGTACTTTTAAATACTTGCAATGATTCGTAGTGATAAAGAAAATAAAAAGGTTATTTGTTGATATCACACCTTCATTGTTGACATTACCCAATGAATTATTCATCTGATCATTACAGGCATTATATATGCTACCAGGTGATTCTTTTTCCGAAGCATCCATCATCTTAAAATATTTAACTCTTTCTTCCATTTCCATTATATTATATTTAGTAATAACTTTTTTCTTATTTTGTTCATTTTAATTTTCAATAATATTAATTTAAAAATAAACTAAATAGCATTAAAACTAGGATAAAAGTTTCATGCAGAATAATATCAAAAACAAAGAATTATTTGCCTTTAAATTTTCAAAATTTTGCTTTTTTATTGGAAGGAAGGAATCTCAACAATGACCTTCTCGCAGTGATGCATTAAATATAAATGATTGTCAAAATAAGTTAATGTGAAGTTAGTGAGCCAAAATAATGAATTTTGAATACGTAAATATCATTTAAATATACAGCTATATTCGTATGTTTTTCCGGAAATTTTGTGAAAATTATCACCTCAAACTAGCCGCTCGAAAATAAATGTTTGAAATATACCACGGACATATGTGAAGCCACTTATTGCTTGCCTAAAGGCAGTAGGATTTAAGAGTTTTAAGAGTGATATGTCGAGTTGACTTAGAATAAATTATTACACGGTATATAAACAAATGTTAGATGTATATCCTAATTGAATCATCACAGTAGAATCTTAATGCATAAAAAAATGAAAGAAGACAAGACTCGTATCACAAAAATTATCTCATAAACATATCAGCTTAAAACATACAATATAACATGTCGGATCGATAAGCCAAATTAAAAAGATGAAAAATCATTTAAATCAAAATCTAAAAGCTAGAATCGCCATCTGAATTGCTTATGGAAAATGCTCCTTTGCTTCATGCTGATTATCATCTTTTTGCTTGTCTGCTTTTATGTCATCAGTCAACGGTAACTTCAGCGCAACTTCCTGCAATAAGCACCAATACTTCTACAGGCAAAAGAATTTAAAATTAGATAATTTATGCAAACTTTCCATATCAAATTGAAGATTTCTTAATATGTGATGAAAGGAACGAAAGATAGGGAGGAAAAAGATCAAGCAAGATGTGATTACTAACTCCTAAACTAGAAGAATTAATCTATAATAGTCAACAAAATCAAATTCGCACTTATTTCTATGTATCTATTTCATTTCTCGTAGTTGGCTCAAATTTCCCTAAAAAAGTCAAGACATAATCTTCTCACCGAAAAAAATCATTTTTAATTTGTTTTAATAGCTGTATAACTAGATACTGAAGAATATCAAAATCATTACTGTTATTCCCACCTCCTGTAAAACGCTGTTGTTGTCAGTGTTATGTATTTCACTATCTTCTGCATTTTCATTAGCGAGAATTGAAACACTTCTAACATATTCATTCATAGAATGATTAGCTTCTTCCAGTAACTTTTCAATTACTATTGAATTGGGACAACCGTTACAGATCTCCTTAATCTGTAGAGCACATCTTTTTTCCTGCAAAAATTGCTTGCAATTCAGTCGCATTTTACTGCAATTTTAAAACAAATTATCAGATTACGAATACGATGAAGACATAGAAACAAATGCAAACGAAAGCGTTATAGTTAGAATGAGAAAATTAGACAAAAATCCAACGTAAGTTAGCATTTGAAACAAATACTAACGTATAATTCTAGTGTGCAGGTAGTATGATAAAAAGGTCGACAGCATTTTTCGTATGGATATAAGGCCAACAAATGACCATTAATGCATGGTATAAAATATCTCCCTAATAATTTAACTGCTTTTTCCATAATCTGAAATAACAGTAATTAATATTAAAAAAATTAAAAAAGTAAGTAGTAAGTGATTACATATATTCGGTAAGTATTCGATAAGTACTATCGGTCAGCATCCTAAAGTAACCTGCTGCTTTCTAAGTTTTAAATAGATTTCCTTACCATTTGCATTTTGCAGTAGTGAACAAACTTTGTTCCCAAAACAAACAAACTTGCTCACATATCATTCCTCTCTCCTTACTTTTATAGAAGAAACTTTTCTCTCACAGATAGCAGCATTAGTAGAATTGCAACGACTGAAGGAATTAAAACTCACTACTTTTTTAACCAGCTCCTCCATATCACATAGCCAACAAACAACAATCTTCATCGAATTCGTCAACTCCTTTAGAACTGCGTTAACCTGAAAATAAGTAAATAATCAGAAGAGATCTAGAAAATATTCATGAAAATGAATATTTAAAAATTTTTAGAACTAAAAATTATATGGCGGTATTAACCTGGGTTGGCGATAAACCACTTCGCAATTCATTTAAGGCATCAATTAAGGCATTTCCATAAATACATAAATCATCCCAGAACGCAAGTACTGAGAGAGCTGACGGTTGCTGACCGTGTTGAGTGCCAGATAGGAATAAAACATCCGGTATCTCTCCATCAATTTCTATTGTTCTACATTGTTTTAAGCTAAAATAAATAAAGTATTTGAACCAGTATAAGTTCTACTTGAACTAAATTACGAATTTTAAGCCTGCATCAAACTAACTTATTCGCTGCATTCTGAACTTTCAGAGAGAACCTCTTGGTGACAAATTCATCGACGATTTCTGCAATCAGTGGCCGAAAATCCATTCCCATTCGACCAAACGAAAAGGCGAAACTCATTAATTTACTCGTTAGAGAGCCAATGTCAATGTGCACATCATTATCAATATTCCTGAAATAAGTGATCGTTTCTGTTATGAAATAAGTGCTTCTGGAATAAGCCTGAGCCTCACTTACTTTATGCGACTGAACATTTGGTCAAGGTTATGAATTGCCCATTCATTGAGGATTGCAGAGGAAGTTGCTGTTTGCCAAATGTCCCATCGCTGATCCGCCAATAACTACAACATCAAATTTAATAATTTTAAATGAAACATAAATACCAAACTAGTTTGACGTTACTGCTTTATATAACAAAAAAACTACTACCATTGTTCCCAAAAACAATAAAAAAAAAATCCTCACATCAGTCTGTCGTCTGCTTATTTCATTTTCGGGGAAAACGGCCAGATACAAGACCATTGTATCATACATGCAATCACGATAAACCTCAACCATGCGAGGGATAAAGTCTGGCTGCGACTGAATGTGCAATTAGAAAAAACTATTAGTATTTTGGCATATTAACAAAAAATTGCCAAACAGATAAGAGTTTTCATTGGACAATAAAAAGATGGTAGATCTTCAGGAAGGGCATGAACTACCATGTCAGATTTTATACAAACTTACAACTAAATTTCAAGAAAGTTTTGATCAAGAGTTATTGGAACTGAATGCTTACAAACTTGAAAAAATAAATGCTTACTCGAATATCAAACAGTCGCTTTTCAAGATACACATCACGATACTGCAAAACCATAATACGCAGTTGCGTCGAAGAGAAATACGGAATCTTCCGGATACTATTCACAATTTGAATACTGTTTGCCAAGTCGATAGGTCCAGAAAATCTATTAAACAACTCATCCAATAACTGATATCGAGCTTCGATTAGCTTATCAGCAACTCGCTGCAAATAGTTGACAAATTCGAGATCACTGCGACAACTTTCAACAATAACTCGACAATTTCCACATACGAATTTGGGTTCATAAAGGCCCTTAGGTTTTACCCACCATCCTAACAAATTTAACTTTTGGAGATAGCTAATCTCTGTTCCAGTCTTCAAAGCGCTTCAACTGAAAAAATCCAGAAAAGACACACATGGGGAAGTCAAAGCAAATAAAGAACACCAAATTAGCTTAATAAAATGAAAAGAAACGTAAAAACTTTTTAATACTGTTGTTATTTTGAAGCTGACTGCCCAACATCAGTTGAATGTTTCTTTTCAAGAATGCTTCTACTAATCAGTCTGTCATAACATTTTAAGCAGTGAAAAAATTCCATTAAAACCTTAATTACGGGATTTTTGGTAAGTCCATGTGTTTGCAATTCCATTCCATAATTGGTCAACAAATAAGCCATATCGTAATAGCCCGCTCGAATACATATATCCATACGCTGAAATCTAGTTTTTTGACCAAATTTCTCAAAATTAAAGGGAATTCAAATTGAAAATAAAATGGTTTAGCTGCTATTTCGAAGTCAAATTAAAAGTTTCTTTTGAAAATTCGAAGTTTCAACTTGTTTCAATTTTGAATCCTAATTTTCCGAACATTTTCCAGAGTTAGTTTCTCATAAAGGTATTTTTAATGAATTCAGCATGATGGTATGTGATAAAATGATAGCTTTTCCAAAATTTTACCGTTGGCAAGCTTAGAACATCCCACAAGTGAGAACTTTTACTTTCCGCAAGTTTCAGATAATGAAGCTCCTGTAGAACTTCATCATTTTTGGAATTAAACTGTTTCATGGATTCCCGTACCGATTCGATTCCTTCTTCAATATCTTCAACCAAGTCGCTTGCTTTTCCAAACTTAAAAATCTTTGAATTTCCTTTCATTCGTATCATGCCGCTTTCTCTTTTAAATTTTAACAACTAAAAAATCAAAAGAAAGAAAAATAAGAGAAGCAAAGTTTCTTCGGTTATTCACTTAGTTTCCCACAAAACAAAGCTTTTAAGCAGAAAACCCCACCATTTTTGACAAAAATTAGTATTTTTCGTGAAAAACTAACCAGTTCCCGGCAGCGCTCTGTAGTACTTCCGGCGTCTGCATAGATTCGATAATTTCCATAAGCCAAATCGCTGATTTGTTGCTGAACATGAAGTAACTGGGAAGATGTATTCTGCTCTTCTTGCCCTAGAATTAACCTAAAATTAGATCAAGAAATAAAAAATGATTTAGTTTTCTTTCGGGGAATAGTAATTTTAACGGAAAAAATTTATTTTATCAGTTCCGGACTTTCCCAAATTTTAAAAAGGCTGTTGGTACAGGGCTAACGTATCCGGATAAGAATCTCTGAAAGTGATTTCAATATCAAACAGTTGATTTAAACATTATTTCCAACTTCTCGACAACAAAATTTGAGAGATTAAAGTTGTGGAAAGAAGAGACACATGAAGATCCTACACAATGTACACTTTACACTTAATTTGCGTAATAAAAATAATAAACCCTGTGTGAAAAAAATAGTTGAAATGTTGTCAAATAAACTAACTTTTCTCTTCAAGTTTGAACTAAGATTTCAAATTTATTCTGACTTAACAAAATTCAAAACAAACTAAGTTGCGCAGCACTGAGTGTAAGCAATTCATTGTCCAGAAAATGTGACATCATCGAAATTTATAATTGCCAAGGCTATCAAGCATTCTGAAAAATGAACATACAGCGATAAAGAAATAAAGTAAAATGAGAGGACCAAATTTAAAGTTGAAATAAGATAAGCAATAATACAACTGGAACGCAAATGTTTCACAGAGCTCCTAATCATAGCTTCGAAACAATGAATCAAAAAGAAGCGACGAAAATAATTATAGTTAACGAAATATAGAAGAATAAGTGATGGTATAAGACTGAGTAATGACATCAATATAGTTATAAATTAAGATAGAGAGAGAAAGAGAGAGGGCGAGGGAGAGAAGATAAGAAGATTTGAGGGATGGATGAAGATTGATAGAATTTATGAAATAATATAACACGTTAAAAGATTGAGAAAACATGTGAGAAACAATAAATCAGAGAGAACATTTATGTAAGGATGAAATATGTTATGCTATGTTTTGTTAGATGAAGAGATTTTGATTTTAAAATTGGTGCAGTTTGTGTTAATTAGTTCAATTAAATTAGTTCTAATGTACTTCAATCAGTTCAATTCATTCAGTAAATTCTTGTTATTTTACGGAAAATTTTTACTGACGTAGTTTGTAATGAATTCAATTTAATCCTTAAGAAATGTTATTTGTTTAGCCATTAGTTGTGCATGCGTCATTTATGCTATTTTTTCTTGTTTTAAGAACTTATTTTGTTTGAAATAAAATGGCAGCAATGTTCATTATTCGTTTCAGGTTTTCATGCATATTATTTGATTCGTATTGGATTCACATTTTTCATTATAATGGGTAAGAAGAAGAAAGAAATTCAAGTGCCAGGATTACCAGAGCCATGGAAAGCATATTATTCGGAGAAAAGAGAGCGGTTAGTTTTTCTTTCTTTACAAATTAATTTATTTAAGGAAATGCATGGAAATAATAGAAAGGCTAGATTGGCAAAAGTAAAATAAATAAACGTAATCGTTGATGATGATTTCTTGAAGTTGCTTAAGTTGCTTAATATGTAAAATTTACTTATGGTCAAATTTTAAAATTTACGTATCAAATGTTTCTGTTGTCAAATACTTCGTAATCAGGTACTAATATTATATTATTATGACGAAGCTGTTGTAGAAATTGCAAGGAAAAAAGAAAAAAAACTGAAGACGCTTAAAATGCAACATTAGTATTTGTGTCACGAACAACGTAAGCTCACGTAAGGGAAAACAAAAATATATCCTTATATTCATTTTACTGTTTACAGTAGATTTTTTTTTTACAGTAGATTTTTTTGTTTAAAATATTGGGAAATGTTTGCTTCGGTAAAATGCATCAGGTCAAAAGTGGAGAGTGAAGAAAAATAATTCATCTTTTTTTGAAATATTTTAAGAAATGTTTTCCTTAATATACGTAGAGATAGAGATTTTCTAGTTCCTTTAATAGGAAGCTAATTACTGCTTTTTTCAAATATGCGAACATTTTTCGGTAATTAAGAAGTAAGTGGAATAGTAAAGTGTGGTCGAGGGTAAGAAAAGAGAATAGGAGAATAAAAATGAGAATGAAATTTCTATATATCTTTTCTGCTGACAATGATGTGCAGATTCGTAAGATGTTTCATTGCAGTTGCCTTATTTTACTTTCCAAATAAACAACTTTTGTTGCTTGTTTTGTTTCAGAATATTTTATTTCAATACGGAAATGAAACAGACAACATGGGAAATGCCGGTTGAGAACAAACCTTCGAGACAGTCTGATCTGTCTCCGAAACAACCAGATGCACAACACCAACAAGGAATTTCAGATGTGCTAGAAAAGTGAGGAATTCTGTTTTATTAGTTAATGAGAGATAGCTGAATCATTGCTTAGTTTGTTCTTTCTTTCATTATTTTACTGAATCTCAAGGTCGATAGTGATTTCTCGAAATGAATTGTTTTGAAAGTTCTGATATTACAAAGGTGATGTCATTTTATTAGACAGTAATAATTGCCATCCTAATGGAGGTTATTTTTCTATACAAGGAAAATTTTTAGTGAATGAATCGCTATTCATTAACTAGACATGAGTAGGAATGTGAGATTTTTTATCGAATTTTCGGTTTGTTTATATGAAAAGTTATAGAAAAAAAGATAGAAGAAGGAAGGCAAAAATGCAGCAGACCAACCTTTTACATTTGTTAAGCTTCCATCGCAAAAACTTACAGCTTTCTAGGAATTCTTAATTTACTTTCTTCTGTAATTTAGAAGAAATCTTACCTCTCGAAGAAGAGAGTCATGGGGAGTTGGCGGGAGGAGAATGTCAGATAAACTTGATTGTTTGCATGGCTTGAATACAAATGAAACAAGTGAAGAGCTGATGGAAATCGATGAAATTGGTATGAAAGATCTTTTTTCTCATAAGCGCATTTTATGTTTTCTAATTAGTATTATAAGGCGCGACTAAATAGAAGCCGGTTGATGAGGTGTGAAAGGCAGAAACATCTATTATAACCTTCGTTTGTTTCCTATTTTCTGGATAGCATTCGTTGTTGCAGTTATTTGACAGATTCCAAAGTTGATATCAATTAATTGAAATTTTCTTTGAGATGTAGAGAATATGGAACTGCTATTTTAGAAATAAACTGTCATGGAGAGCCGATGGAAATCGATATCGTTGTTGAAGAAATACAAGCTTTTCGTCGGGAACACTTTTTGCACCCAAATCTATTTGCCAAAGTTTCTGTTTCTGCGGTTATTCTAATATTGATATAATACATTCCAAAATTTTTTGAAAGAATAAGCTTGGAACGATTAATGAGAAATGAATTGTTGTTATGATGTGATATTTTTGAAAAGTGATAAGTGAATGTTTATGGTCGACGACTTCCTTCATTTTCACATTAATTCTCTTGTTATAATGACTTCTGTGTGGTTCATTTTTCAGGCACCGTTTTTTCATAATAATGCGGGAGCTCGTGAAACAACCGAAAATACTAATATGGTGCTTTTAGTTTTTGACACGAGTTGCCTTCTCCAAGATACAGCACTATTGCCAATGTGCATCCAAAGTATGTATAGTTTCGATGCTTCATATAATGTTTTTATAAGGTGAGAGAAAAGAGATTGTCTTGAAAAGCACTATCCAGCATATAATGAAAATTATTTTAACGTTTTTAAAATTATGCGTTCTATACATCAGAAATTTCCGATAATATTTTGAAATAATTTGAAGCATTTTAAGATAATGCGTTGCATGTATCGGAAATGAAATTTCCAATATATGCTTAAAACAGTTTTCATTATATACTGGATACTCCTTTTCAAGATAAAATAATTTCCATTATATGCTGGATACTGCCATATTCATAAATACACGAAGCATGAAGTTATCATCCTTATCAGAAGGGCAACTCTTCGCTTTAAAAAAAATTATTTTGCAGAATTGTACTGGTCACTTATTCCATATACAGTTCTCCAGGAATTAGACGGCTTGAAGAAAGCAGTAGGTTTTAGTTCATCGTTAAATTCATTATTAATCAAGTTAGTTAGATTGCATTTTCCTATGTTTTACTTTTAAATTCTTATTTTTAATTATTTGGTGAATCTGTCACAATTCATCTATCATACATCATAACTTTTTCATTGTTACTAGATGGTATTGTATATATATTTTTTATATTTGTATTATTAAAATATCATTCAGAAATCTGCTGAACTGCGATCCAAAGCCGTGAAAACAATTGGTTATCTACATGATTGTGTAAAGCGTGGATGCAGTTATCTGTTTATAGAAAATACTTTTGAGGTTTGCTACTGGTGAAATCGCAACTTATATTATAACTTTTCCTGATTTGCATGAAGTTTGACATTAATTCTTTCCTCGAATATTTTTCAGGCTTCAAATGGTATGGAGGAATTCGGATGCCAGAATAACGACGATATAATTTTGAAATGTGCATTTGCAACTGCCAGAAAATGTAAGTTAACTTCTTTGTTTCATGTTTCATATTCTCCTTATTCTAACTTAATTGTTCAGCTTATATTACCCTAATGATGTTTCTGTTGTTTTTTCAAAGACTTTTTGTTTTAATTTTTTCCAGACGAGAATGAACCAGTTTGTGTGGTATTTGTTACAAATGACAAGAATCTTGCAATCAAAGCAGCAGCACATAATATTAAAACGGCTGACAGAAATGTACCATTCCTGTTATTGTTTTAGTATTTTCAAATTGTATTTTTAAACGTTACATTTTTATTCTTTCATAAATTCGGTTGCAGTGAATTAACCAGTAATATACAAGATTATGTGATCTATACTTCCTTCACCTTAAAACGAATTGATTTCTATTAATTGTGTAACTTTAACAGTTTCGTTCTTTTGATTTTGTCCATTTAGTTGTATAAATTAAACTTAAGCGAATTCATCTATTACGATTCATTTAGATAAAAGAGAAATTGAATTGAGTTTATTTTAAAACTTTTTCTTAAGTCACCTAATTCTTTATTCGTTTCAGGAGTTGTTGCATTTGCTAACAACTGATCCATTAAGAGGTAAAAGTCAGCAGATCGTGATAAGAAATAATCGAAAGATCTCGCCATCGGACTTCTCGTTCACTCTTGTTGATAAGCCATCATCATCGGTTATTAAAAATGTGGAAGTTGATGCACTCAAAAAGATTGTAGACTGTTTACCTGCGCCACTTGGATGCCGTTCTTCATCACCATCATTTACACTTTCACCTCAAAAGAGAGAAATTCCTTCGTGTAATAGCTCAGTTTCATCAATAGAGGGCGGTAGCAAAGATGAATCCGGAAACTTTATGCGTTTTAAAGAGGGAAGCTGTGGAGTGTCAGATTTAGTCAAGCATCGTGAGGTTCATCAACAGCGACGAATGCCTTATTCAATTCGAAAAGCGGAGAAGGAGGTGAGGCAGTTTGGCTGAAATTGGGCGATATATTCTGCAATTTCTGAGCAAGATTTCAACTTATAAGTAAACTCATTTTGAATTTTTCGTATGTTCTGGATTTACAGAAAACTTCTTACAGGGAAGTTTCATAAACATTATTAATTAATTACGAATTTTCGTGCCGGCAATTTTAAGGGTAGTGGAAGTGGTGGAAGGTTATCTAGGAAGAGAAGATTACGCCAATTAAATGAACATTCCATGGCTGATTTTTTGGAAATATTTGCAAAACTCATCCGACATCTTAAACACAGGTTGGATTTTATAAAATTAAAATTGAAACAAGTAACTTCAACTTGTATATTTTCAGTTCTCTTCATTTTTATGTTAATTCAAATTGTATTAAATTGTAGGAGCGACAGGAAATCAATGGAAGATATAAGAAGAATCAATAAAGCTATTGATTTGTACGTTTTTTTATTTTAATTCTCTGAATTTGTACTCTTCAGTTCATTTAAAAATTGATCTGTAGAGGATGAAGTGCATTTACTGTTTTTCATTTAGAGTTATTGCTAATGAGTCGTCCTCGCTGAGTGTTTTAATCGATATGGTGTCGAAATTTTATGATTTTTATGCTGATCGTGACGTTTTTTTATCAGCGGTAAGTATTGTATAACATTGCATAACACATGAAATTGATTATTTCTATGGTTATAAATTTCTTTTTGTAGTGATCACTTCGAATTATTAATGATCATTTCATAAGCTTAAAATAAATCAAGTAAGGTAAAGTGAATGTTGTTTAACCAAGCCCTAATGATGGGAATTATCTACACTTAACAGCAACTAAATCAAATTGAATCATCTAACAGTATTCCTTTCCTTTTTCCGGAAAGTTCCTGCTCGATTATTTTTGCTTTGCACCTATTAGATCTTCAATGGGTGTACTGCATGCATTACGTGCGCTAGGATAAATGAACAGATTTTGTCTATAAGTAATTCGAATTCAGTTAAAGTGAACATAGACATAGGATTATATTTACACGTAGATTTGTTAATATATCAAATTTTACTTGTTTATGATTGCGTAGATGTGAAAATAACTGTCTGCCATTGTTTCCAGACACATTTTGATAAAAAGCAACTGGCAAATGAATATGAAAGCGGTATCAGTACAGTTAAGGAAAAGTTGTGCACATTTCAAAAGCAACTGGTTGTAAATCATCCGCATATTAATTAATAATTAATTTTCTTCTTATTTATCTAATAATTATTTTCTTTTTTTGCTCTTTTTTCACATATTAATTATTGTTTAATTCGGAAGTGAAAAAAAATTTCAAGCTGTTAAAATTTATTTCCAATATATTTCAATGATATGCAGCCAACACAAAAAAGTTGTAGGTACGGATGATCTTGGTTATCTACTTCTTTTTTATTGTGATTATAAATTCTTTTTTAGTCTAATTTATGACGTAGAAATATGTACTACCGAACAGTTTTATTGTTATACGGCAAGATAAAAAAAAATTTATTTAAAAAAAAGTGGAAGCCAACTACTACATTAACGATATAAAAGCATAGTACTATGATATCTATGATATTGGTTGTTCAGTGCTTCATGCTTTTGGATTATTAATGTGATGCTCTAACTTCTCTAGTATTTAGATTTGCATGTACAATGATAGTGTCTTTTTACATTGTCTTTCAATTCGTGTACATTTTTTCCAACTAATTTTTTCAGTTATTTATATCAGAATTCATTGATTCATGTTGTTTATGTTATGGAAGCAGATATGAAGAAGAATCGAAAACAGGTAAAAAAGAGTTAATATACTGCACTATTTGTACTGATATGTTTTTACCAAAGAAGTTTTTTCGTTGTTTTAGTTATCTTTATAAAGACTAATTGAAGTATTAAATTTCTACGAATGGTAGAACTTTCTTCAATCACTTCCATTTTTTGAAGTCACACCACATTTCACAAAACATCGAATTTTCTTAAATATTTCGAGTTATATTCATTCTCATAATTATCGTATTTGATTCTAATTTTTATATCGAAATCCGGGTAATCCAGTAAGATTTGAAATTAAATGAAAAATCATTCATAGTTTTTATCTTATCTTTCTCTTAATCCTTCCCAACATGGTCACCGTTGGGTTTGCCAGTACTAACAAATGATAATGTGATAATATGTAATATTCCCATTTAATTAATGGGAATTTATCAATTAATTTAAAAAAAGTTGCATTTCCTGCAATATTTGAAAATTTTGAATCTGAAAGTATTGTAAGCAGTCAAACCATATATGGTGGAACCGGTCGAGACTAAGCAAAGATTTGATTTTTCATAATGTAAACTAGTTGGGTTTATTATACATTTGTGTATGCGTGAACATTTTTTTCATAATTTAGCTTATTATTGTTGCTCAATTTTGACATATCATTTAATAAATTAAATCTTTTTGATATGTAAAAATATATCGATATTCTCAACATCATTTCAAGCAAAAGTATGCAAAACTTTCCCAAATTTATTTTCGTGCCATCGTGAAAAATTATCAAATTATAATCATTACGAAAGGACTTGTGTGAATTATTAACCGAAACGTTTTTTCTTTGTTATAATTGTTTTAGATTTGGAATTTTAAAGAAAACGATGTCACCTTTACGTTGAAAAACTTCTCAAAATTNTCTCTATTATTCGTTCCTCCCTTCAAATAATACATAAATGCTAATTATTGCATTCACTTTGTCTATCGTTTAACATTTGAAAGCAAACCTTTCTCTTTCGTTTTCAATTTACAAAGAAGTTTTCCTTTCTTATATTTGCATGCTGGAGATTTCAATGCAAAATATATGTAGCCGATCACTAAACACACTATAAATATACGATTTAATATGGTTTTGTGATAAGATTTAATTACTGAAAATTTAATCAAAAATAATCTTTTCATTCGATTCAGAGAAATTTCAGTTAGAAGCAGTTTTACTTAATGTTAATGACAAAATATCGTCAACTTGCGTTAATTTGTTCTAATGGAAACAATTGCAGTAATTTGTTGCAGTAACTTTTCTAAAAAAAAAAAAGAATTTCTAAAGTTTTAAAGAAAAAATTGTTGTTTAAAGAAAGTAAGAAATTGCAGTGATTAGTTGTACTAACTTGTAGTAATTTGTTCTAAAGAAAACAATCTAAAAGAAACAAAACTAAATTTGGGAAAGTTATGCATAGTTTAAGTACTGGAATCTTGCAGAAGAACAAACATATTAGAAACTAATCAATGATATAGAAAGAAAACGCTAATAATACAATGGATAGAAGTTTTGAATTAGTTTTCTTCTTTTATGTTACTGCTGACTGTTGAAAGTAACAAATGAGACATTTATCATTTTGAATCGATTTAAATTGAGAAAAGTGTCTGACTTTGTGGTGATAATGTGAAGTAAGAAATTCTTTTTGAAAGAAAGGAAAAATTGAAAGTATTTTGATCAAAATTATCACTGCACACTATTGAATAAAAAGTTTTAAATTTGAAAAGATTATTGTAGAAATGAAAAATAAGTGTCAGTAGAACATTTAAGCTTAGTATTGCAATCAAAAATAAGTTATATTTTTATTTTTTTATCAATTATGCTCAGTTAACTTCCCTTTTCTATATTCTATTTTCAAACTGCATCAAATAACTGAAGCCGTATTATAATCTTTATATATTGATACAGTTTATGTTTCGGTACTTGTTTCCGGAATTTTTGGCAATAATAGATTGAGTTTGGTGTACATTCGTGTCAATGGTGGTGTTGCTTTAAATATCATCGCTATAATTGTTATTATTAACAAATTGTAGTAGCTAATTGACGAAATTTCTCATTTAAAATTATTGGAAAGACAAAGCAAAGTGCCGAGGAAAAATTAGCTTTAGACAACCTCCCGAAGGAAATGGATTATAACAGTATACGAATGAAAATGATCAGTTGGGATAATTAATTATAACTTTACATTATATGTTGCTAATTATATGTCTTTTCTACACTGATTTTAATTTTACTTACTTGCAATTGCACTAGCTTCATTTTTATCCTTTGGTTTGCCTATATCTGTAGGGGCGGTTAAATTTTCGACCACCACTTTGTGGCGACGACCGGCATATTCAGTCGCATCGCGAGGCCAGTTATCTGCGGTGGGTATCAATATGTACACTTCGTCTTCCTCATTTGATTCCAAAAATCCGTGACATGTGGAAAAACGAGGAAATGAGCGTTCCCTCGTTCGTATACGATATACGATGGGTACTGGATCAATGTTTCTTATCTGTATAAGATTTTTGGAAACTTTGTAAAATAAAAAATTATGAAATGCAAAGAAAAACACCAATTCCAAATCATAATTTTGAGACTTTAAAACCCAGTTTCAAATTTAGACAAGAAAACATTCCAAAGTAAAAAAGGTATTTAAACCTAATCAGCATATATCGCAATATTTACTTGTAATCACGGAATCACAAATTCCAATAATTCAATAATAAATGTAATTCTTTCAATTGAAATTTTAGAGAAGTTTACTTTAAAACGGGCATATTGAGAGACTCGGTAATTATCAGCAGCTGTAAAAACGATCCACGAAGGAATCAGCTGAACTTCGAAATCCGGTGTGTCTCCTGTTGCTTTATTTTCCCAGCTACTAATAATATCATCTGATCTATCAAACATCTCAAGTCTTTAATTTCTCCAGAAAATGCTTCCTCGTTAAAAGAAATACAATCGCTTGGTTGGTTATAGCGTATTGAAGTTAATCAAAATGATCGATTATTTTGAATTTTCTATATTTAAATAGTATTTGGATGAATTTTATTCAAACTTCTGAAAGATTTCAGTACTTCAAATTTCTCAAATCTCCATAAATTTGCATATCCAAACCACATGATTGATAAATTTACCGTTAGATGAATACGAAAATAGTATAGAAATAAAGGAGAGAAAAAGGAAATGAAATATTTGTTAGTTTTGAGATTGAAATTCTGTGGAATTTTTATCTAAATATCTTTTAAAATCGGTGAAGTTACTAAACTTTCTCAGGCTTTCGTCCAAAATTTGCGCTATCGAAAAAAGAAATCCGGAAAGCGGTTAGACACAAGGATGAGTAAGGACGAGTCACGTTATTTGACAAGAGCACTGGATACGTTTGGGAATTTCACTTGACTGCATTTGAGGCAATGGTTGGTTATTATCAGTTATCTGTTTGGATTGGAAAATTCAGAGCATAAATATCCACTGCAGTCATGATTATTTTTGATAGTTGTTATCGATTGCGTATTACAGGCTATTATTGTGATTTTATGAGCAGTATTTTTCTTAACTGGCAATCCAGGATTATTGATCCGGCGAGATACTTTTACGGAATTGTTTAAAACAAGTACGATCCGTTACATCAACATCCTGTTATTTCCAGTCAATCGAATTCAGCTGCTATTTGGACAGCTGGTAACAAAAGTCACTGTCACAAATAGCTGTAAGTTAATATATATTGCTTTTTGAAAACATTTTCCAGTAAGATTGTTGCTCTCTGATTTGATTGCGGTTAATAAAATATTTGCAAACTAGGCAGCGGTATTTTTCATCCAAGGGTCTTGAAATTTGAGATTATATGAATCGAATCATTTTAGATGTCATGATTTTATCAGAAAATTATCATTAGTCATGTTGTTTCCTTCATTTTTTTGCTTTGCTCTAAACGGTTCAAAATAAAAGATAACATGAATGCAGATTTAATTGAATGATTTAAAGTTGAAGTTTTGAGTGTGTTTGTTAGCTTGATTAATGCTACAATCGATCAGCAAGATATACCAATTTGGACTTTGGATAGGCGCTTAATTATCTGCTTAATCCATTTGCTAATTAGACTTGTAGTTGTTAAAACTGTATTTGCACGTTTTCAGGCTGCTTGAAATTAGGCAGTGGAAACGTAGGTATGGTGAATGGAACAAACGCAGTTGGTTCTGTAATCGATAGAGGTTTGTTTACCTTACGAATAAAGATTTTATCTATGTTTTTTTGTTATGATATACATTCTACAGGCAAGGGTAACATGGCTATTTTACTGAAAAAAATCTCCGTTTATTCAATTTTTTGACATTGGAATAAATCTGGAGTGCTAAATGGTTTAATAGGCGAACTATGGAAATGAGAAAATCATTTTTTTTTCTATGTATGATTTCATATGTACTATTTTTCAGAGAAATTTTCGCTTTGATTTATTAGTGCTGTTTAATTGGGGTTGTTTACAGGAAGATATCCAGAAAAGACATGGAAACTACCGATAGCAGAGCCATCGCCGCAACTTTATCTGTACAATAGCTTCACACGGAAAAAAGAACTCTTTGTGCCATTGAACCCGAAGCAGGTAATATTTTCGACCGTTATTCACGTAGATTGTTTTTCATTTGCATTTTTTTTTAAAATTCTACCAAAAAAAATTAAGGTGAAATGGTACATTTGTGGACCTACGGTCTATGATTCTTCACATATTGGGCATGCACGAGCTTATCTTTCTTTCGACATTCTGCGACGTGTTTTACAAGATTACTTTGGTTATGACATACAGTACGTAATGAATATAACAGATATTGATGACAAAATTATTAAGAGGTAAATTATTGCTTAGGATATTTTTCCTGATTCGGTGATTTTCCTCATATTCTTTGTATTCAGTTCTTAGGAATAGTGAGTAGAAGTGTAATTTCAGGGCTCGTCAACTTTATCTGTTAGAAAATTATACATCTGGAAAATTTGGTGAGCTTTCGATGACGAAGGTTATCGAAGACACTCTGTCTGCATTGGATAAATTCAAGAGAAAATGTATTGATGAAACTGATGCAGATAAAAAGAGCATGTTGAACGATATGGTAAACTGTAGATTAAAATAAAATCTTTTAAGTTAATTCCTTGGATTGATTACTCTATTATACATTGAATAAAAAACCAAAAATTAAATCTTTCACTTAATATTACATGAAAAATGAATTGAAGCCGCCTCTCAATCACGTAGTTTGGTAATTTTATCCGCCCTATTCTCAGAAATGTAGTAATGTGTTAATAAAGTAGCGTTCTTAAAAATCGATGTAACTTTGCAGTGTGCAGACGTGAATGTTGCTGTGAAAAGACTGGAGTGTTCGTTGCTGCAATCGGAACAAGAAGAAGCAGAGAAATCAAAGAATGAACTGCTAAGTGCCGCAAAAGATGTTCTCTCAGACTGGTTGGATTCGCTTTACAGACATACAGTCAGCGACCTGGCTGTCTTTGATCGTCTTGCTAAGAAGTTAGCACTTTAGTTTCTTTAACGTGTTGAAAAAATTCCTTCAAAAACAAAGAAAAGAAAAAGGGAAATGGATCCAATTTAGATATGAGAACGAGTTTTTCTGCGATATGGCTTGTTTAAATGTGCTGCCGCCTACTGTTTTGACTCGGGTTTCGGAATATGTTCCTGAAATTATTGCATACGTAGAGAAAATAATAGATAATGGTTATGGATATGCTACCGAAGACGGTTCGGTTAGTTTTTTTGGCTGGAACGTTTTCCTCATTTATTTTTTTGCTTATTCATTGTTTGTTTTCTCATTTACATATTTAACTATTCTGTCCTTCCCTTTTCTATTTCCGACTATAATCAGTAAACTGTGTAGACAAGGATTTTTTTTTCATTTTTTTTATTTTTAAAGATTTCAGGTCTATTTCGACACGATGAAGTTTGATAATAGTGAAAAGCATAGTTATTGCAAATTGGTACCAGAAGCATTTGTTGATAATGAGCAACTGATGAAAAATATGCGAGAAAGTGAGGGAGATTTGAGTATGGGCAATTTGCAAGTCAGTACTAATGATTTTCAATCTTAAAATATATCCCATGAATTATTGTATGGTATGATTACTTATTTCTTTAGTTCTTTTTCAGCATAAAAGGAATGCTACTGACTTTGCGCTGTGGAAATCCTCAAAAGTCGGTGAGCCATATTGGAATAGTCCTTGGGGAAAAGGTAAGAATTTGAGAATTTTATATATTCATTAGTGCTCCTTCCCAGTTTATTTCAATACGCACAATGCTTACGCCTGATTTGCAACTGAACATTATTACTTCTGCTGAAATATACAACGTGCTTTGTTCCAGGTCGGCCGGGCTGGCATATCGAGTGCTCAGTGATGAGTTCAAAAATCTGTGGCTCTTCCTTAGATATTCATGCTGGTGGTTTTGATTTGAAATTTCCACATCACGATAACGAAATAGCACAGGTAACTGAAGTTACGTGACTGTGGTTTTTGCTGTTCACATTCATACATATTCTGGTGATTTTTTCTTCAAAATTTGAAGAGTTTATAAATAAATTCCTGAAGCTGATCCTTGGAATTTTTATCGATGTCCATTCTTCTTTAAATATAGTTACGAAGTTTTAGTAACTTCAATCAAGGATTATCTGTATATGACGTTATCATTTTTCAGGTGGAAGCTTATTATGATATTGGAAATTGGGTCAATTACTTTTTGCACTGTGGTTCGCTCCGAATTGCTGGTTTAAAAATGTCCAAAAGTCTCAAAAATTTCATAACGATCCGCGAGGCATTGAAGCATTATTCTGCTCGACAGTTAAGGATATTATTCCTAATGCATAATTGGAATGATGTTCTTGATTATAGGTCAGCTTGGTTTTGAAGCTGTGGTCAAATTTTTAGGTTCTTTATTGATTGATTTGGTTATCTTAACATTTTCAGCAATGTTTCGATGGAAAGAGCTTTGCAGTTCGAAAAAATTACCAGCGAATTTTTCTTAGTTGTTAAGGATTATTTGCGAAAAAATTATAAGCCGAATAATAGTGAGGTGAGTATCTTTCATTATGGGGTAATTTTGCAACTGTTGAGGGACGTCGTTCGTCATATTTGTTGTTTTTTAAAGTTCAGTTTTTCTTAGAGTTATCAAAAATATGGTGATGTGGAACTGGTTTTGGTCGATAATTTTTGCAAAATCAAAGCTGAGATAAACATTGCATTATGTGATTCGGTCGATACACGAACAGTAATTGAAAAGCTGCGGGAATTGATTGGCATGGGAAATGCTTACATCAACGAAATGGTTAGTGCTTTGTTGGTTGTGACTGCGATGATATTTTAAAGTATTATGCAGTGATAACATTAACTGGTACTTTCAACAATTTTTTTAATTCATCGGTTTGTCACTGGTCAACCACTCTCAAACGAATTAAACCAATGTTCGTATAGTAATGTTCAATGCCGGATTAAATCGATTGCGTTAAGATCAGGAAATTTATGCACAGAAGGAAAAAAATATTTAATTGTAAAAATATTATAATGGCCAGTTTGTCGATTTAAATTTGAACTTCAACTCCTACTTGTCAGATTTTTGTTTTAATATTGTCATTCTCAGGAGAAAAGGAATAGCATTCCAAATTGCTTATTATTGCAAAATATTGCATTATACATGACGTGGTTGTTCAAAGTGTTCGGAGTTATACCCCAAAATGCTGATATTGGTTTTTCAACAGAACAGAAGTTTGTTTGTTTCGTTTCTGATATGGACATGTAGATTTTTTTTCTTCATTTATCATATAGTCATATTCCATTTTACCCAAATTTCATTTTTTATTCAGTGGAATGTTGAGTTATGATATATCAATCGGATCCAAGGAAAAGTTGCTCATGCCCTACTTAACAGCGCTTGTCGATTTCCGTGAAAATATTCGAAAAGTGGCTCGTGAACAAAAAATCAGCGAAGTTTTGAAAGTAGGCTTAAATTCTTGCTTGCTTAATTAGAAAACTCCATTTTTAATTACAGTTGCATGAAAGTCCGTATGTTTATGCGCTTGTATATTTGCTTCATGATAATTATGACGAAACATTTTTTTTGCTTAGGAATGCGATAGGTTACGAGATGAAGTTCTGCCAGAATTGGGTGTACGACTTGAAGACCGAAGTGCCCAGACATGTGTCAAACTTGTTGATAGAGAAACTCTGTTTCGAGAGCAGGAGCAGAAGAAGGCTATTGAAGTAGCAAAAGAGGAGGTTACTACAAAATATTTGGATATTGAAGACTGTGTAAACTGTTTCCTTTTGTAGTTTTACGTTCAAATATATTTCGATTTCACTGCTTCACTAAGTTTATGTTGTCATACTGTTATATTTGAAAATTTAAAAATTATTTGAGCACTTGATACATTGAATCAGTTTCGTCTGTTATTTCCAGGAAAAACATCGAAAACAATGCGAAAAAGCGGAAAAGGAAATATCTAAACGTATACCACCTTGGGAAATGTTTAAGCAAGGCAAAGACGGTGCAAAATTCTTGAAATATGATGATAAAGGAATACCCACGCATCTTATTAACGGTGAAGAAATCTCGAAAAAACAGCGGAAGAAGCTGGAGAAGTTATACGAAATGCAGCAAAAGAATTATGAACAGGTTGTTTACGAAATTTATGAGGCAAGAAAAAAGTGCATTTATGCATTCTCAACATAGCGTCAATTTCTTTGCCTTTGTTGCTATTTAAAGATTTTTATATCACCTCGACCAACTTGCTTTGCAGATCTGCATAGTGTTGTAGTTTACATAGGCTGTTTGTTTTATAGAAATATTAGAGTTCCAATGACCGCTGAAATCCTGCCGAGCGAATTAAAATTAGGAAGAAAAAATACAGTTACCCTAGCATTATTGATTTGGTGATAGTTACTTATTTATTCAGCAATATCAATCGCCCATTTAGTTAACTGTTTGGTTGATTTTCAATTTAGGTTGCGTAGCAAATTTTTTTGAGTTATTAAAAAAGTCTTTTTAATTTGCTTGAATATTATTTTCAGGTTGTTCATGGATTATCTTCAAATTAGATGGCTGCAACGACCTAAAATTTTGCAAGATATAATCAATTTTTCTGTTTTTATTTAAAAAACATTTTCAAATCGTGATCTAATTTCTGTTCGAAATTGAGGTTTCATAGACTGTAAGCTAGAATAAACGATATAAAGAATAAATGAAGAGAAAAAAATACAAAAATGTAAGTTAAAGGTTTAGTTGGATTGAAAACCTTTATTGTAGTTTATGTTGACACAATTTTCTAGCTAGAAGCCATTCTTTGCGTTGTTTTATTTTATCGATTTATCCTTTTGCGGTTGATGAACTTTGTTATGTTGGGTTCTAGTTGTTTTGAATGTGGAAAATAAAGTTTTGGATGAACAAGTTAATTTGCAAATATTAAATGGTTTAATATGACCTTGTGAAGATTTTTGTAAATCATTTGCAAGCAATTTTATTTATTTATTGTTTTATTCGATAAGTGTTTATGTTGTTCCAATGTCCGTCGAAACTCAAAATTACTCACGCAGAATGGGATAACTCATGAGTTGGTAAGATACTGTTAGTTAAAGAATTCAAGTTTATGAGCCAAGTTTTTAGTCAACATCGAGCTAAACATAAGAAAATTGTACTACCGGGCTAGAGTATGTGCTTAATTAAGTATATCTGCTTAAGCGAAGATTGATAAGTATTACCTTGTAAATGTATAGTTAGTTATATATGAGATATTGGACGAACGAGGAGTAAATTTCAATTTATCAACTAGTACGTTGTAACTGGATCTCGATGACGGCTGCTGAAATTGCTGATTTGGTGATATTCTCAGTTTCAAAAGCTTTGCAAGGATATCGCCAAACTGAAAACTATGATATTATGAGTCAAGCTAAATTATAGTTCGAAAGAAACCTGAAGAGACGAAGGTGTTTCATTTCAGTTTAAACACTGAATCAAACCATGTCGTTTCTGGAGTTCTGGAACGAATTGTTAAAATGTTAGGAAATTGGAGTGACGGGAGTTTTTTTTCTTATTAATTGCAGTTGAAATAAATACTTGGTAGGGACTCCACGTATTCTGAGAGATACAATTTAATCAATATAAGATCTCCTAAGCAATTTTCGGGAAAATCTGCAAATCCATGTATTCTATTCTATCTGTGATATATGTGCTTCTCTATAATTTATATGTTGGAAAATTGCCTGGTAAATCTGCATATAAAAATATATACATATTTCTGTTTTAAAGAGAGTCGTGGTGTATTTGAATATTTGAATCGATGCAATATTAAGTCTTAAAATTAGCTTTTACGAAAATTCTTTTGGAAGAATATTTGCTTATTAGTTTTTAATTCGTAATCGTTAAATCTATTCGGCGTTTCATAGGCAGATTTTAATAAAGTATTTTTAATCCTTTGTAGAATTCTCGGTTTCAGCAATTTTGTATTCTAGTAGTAACATTATTTTAGGATTTCATAATTTTTGCTCGTAATTTGATTGCTACCGTTGCTGCTTTCGAAGAATTAAGATTTTCTTGCCACCTTTTTTTTCTCTTGATTGCGATAAAATAGGAGAATTAATAAGATCGGTAAAATAGTTATTTTCTTTACTGATACGTGTGTGGTATTTTAATTTATTATTTTTTCAGTTTTGATCATAGAAATTGAGTTCATTTTCATCGCAGCTTTCTAATACTTGTTGTAATTGGTATTTGGAACCTATTTGAAATATCTTGTGTTTTTATAGATTTCTGATCGTTACTTTTGTGCGTGACTTGCGATTTTTCGGTGACATATACTTGAAACGATAATGGTAACGTACCTTTTTTTCAGGTTCGCGATGTCTCGAAAGTTTCTAGTTGGTGGAAATTGGAAAATGAATGGCGATAAGGTATTTTTTTCTCTTATTCTTTATCTTATTTTCAAGTAAAAAACTGCTTCACTAAAATTGTCACTGTTGATGAGGATTCCAGTTATGTACTTACTTAATGTGAAGGTAGTATTTTCGTAATTTCAATATTTATAAAGTATTTCATCTGATCGTTTTAAATGAACTTAGTTTTAGATTATTCTTACATTTATAATTTCTCCGAATATACGGAGAAGGACGTGTTAATATACACTTAATCGATCTGCAACAATAATCAAAGCCAAAAAATCTACAGCCTGACGACGAATTTCATCTAATTCTAGAGTTTTACCTACATTTAGGAGCGAATGTGTTGCAAGTTTTGGTTTTCAGGCCAGTATTGATAACATTATCAAATTTTTAAATGACGGGGCCTTGGTACCAAATGTGGATGTTGTAGTTGCACCGCCTGCACCATATTTGTCGTATGTGAAGGAGAAAGTTAAGAGTGGCATCCAAGTATCTGCGCAAAACTGCTATAAGGTTAACAGAAAAGGAATTCACTTATTAATATTTATGTCCTCTTTTCGAGGCATCCCTTGATTTTATTTCATTTGCAGTCCAGAGATTACAAAATGACTGAAATTATAAAAGATCTAAATCTTTTCAAAATTTCTTAAAAATATGGGAGAAAACTTTATAAATATCGCACTTTTCAGGTTGCAAAGGGTGCATTTACTGGTGAAATTTCCCCGGCAATGATCAAAGATTTAGGACTGAATTGGGTCATTTTGGGGCACTCCGAACGACGCCATATTTTTGGTGAATCCGATGAACTGATTGCGGAAAAAGTTGTGCATGCAATCGAAAACGGTCTGGAAACTATCTTTTGTTGTGGTGAAAAATTGGATGAGCGAGAAGCTGGAAAAACAAAAGACGTTAGCTAATTTATTTCTCTCAAGTTAGAATGTCAGGCTTATGTATAATTTTTGCATCGTAATCGTTGAATTGGTATAATGTTCTTTGCAATTTATACTTGTCTCACACTCGATAGATACACTTTAAGTATTGGAATCTTTCAGAAGTTTGAATAACAAATATATTAGAAACTAATCAATGATATAGAAAGAAAGCGCTAATAATACAATGGATAGAAGTTTTGAATTAGTTTTCTTCTTTTATATTACTGTTGACTGTTGAAAGTAACAAGCGAGACATTTATCATTTTGAATCGATTTAAATTAAGAAAAGTTCTGACTTTTTGGTGGTAATGTGAAGTAAGAAATTTTTTTGAAAGAAAGAATCTCCAGTAACGTAGGTTATGGAATCAGTAACAGAAACAGTAAATATTTCACTATTTGAGGTGAACTTCCGGCAGCTTCAAGCAGTTATTGACAAGAAGGCGGACTGGGCCAAAATTGTAATAGCCTATGAGCCTGTGTGGGCGATTGGCACCGGAAAAACAGCTTCACCAGAACAAGCCCAAGAAGTACACGGTTGGATTCGAGAATTCCTGAAAGAAAAAGTATCTGCAGATGTAGCTCAGAAAACACGCATCCTTTATGGAGGTGAAGCACTGCTTAATTCTGCTTTAAATCTCCAGTCATATTTTTTATGGAAATTCCCGATGTCTGTTAAGTTCCGTTAAATGATTTAGCGAGCTCACGCTCAGATATTAAGAGTAGGATTGTATACAGAATATGAATTGATGCTTGGAGTTATGATAGTTCACCATCTAAACACTGGTAATAGTAGTAATTCCATAATTATTTTTTATCATACGTTAGGAAGAATTGATTGGGGAACAGACCAGAATGTGGTTTTGAGATATTTGAGATTTTCGTGACTATCGGTAGTAATTGATCTTCAACTTTTCATTCTTCGTTTTAATAATCTTATTAGCCGAGAGTTATACTTTTCATCTAAATTTTCAGGGTCGGTAACTGCCGAAAATGCTGCCGATCTGGCGAAAAAACCAGATATCGATGGTTTCCTGGTTGGTGGTGCTTCACTGAAGCCTGATTTCATTAAAATTGTTCATGCTCGTGGTTAATTTAGCAGCTGCTTGATGTTCGCAACGCCTAATAGCATTTGTCGTTTACTTTTTATTGAAGATTTGAAAGTACTGCAGAATTTGTTCTGTGTAAATAGTAGTCCCGTATTTTAATTTATACGACAATATTATTGAAAAGATATTTTTAGTTATTTGATTTTACTACTTCAATTATCAGTAAACTGTAGTGTAATTGCAGTGTTCAAGTAAAGGAATTTTTTTTATGTCATTGTTGTTGCATCCATCTTGTCTCAATCATTGAGACGGATAACAGGTTTACTTTCGAAAATTCATATTTGTTTATTTATCTAAAAATTAATGGCATTTAACGATACAGCTGTAGCATGGAATGGATGCAGCTGTAGCAGTTTGAATGGTTTAAATATTTTCTTGAACCGTAGATGGATTCAGATTCTTGTGAAAATGGGAATTGAGAAGACAAGATCTTTCATGTATCAGTCATCATCCTTCCCAGGATAATAAAGAAAGAAAGGATACCAGCCTTGTGTGTGGGATTGAATCCTATGTATTTAAATTCTGAAGTTATCGCTCAGAATTTGCTTGAAAAATTAGCTTTATCTTAACGGTTTTCCAGGGACAAATATGTATCCTATCGTTTTACCGGTGTCAGTGTGTTAGATAAGGGATGGAATTATTTGACGTATCTTATATGGCATTTCAATATTTTGTGAATTTATCAATTTCTTTTTGTTCATTTTGTCGTTAGAAGTTAAATATAGGAGCAGAGATAATTAGTGCTACTGTAAATGAGTCAATCTATAAACGAGTATAACGTTACTGATACAATGACAATTTGTGTGTGAATAGATTTCCAGGTGGTCTTAATGAGTAATATATACGTGAACGAACCAGCAACAAGCGGCAAGGTATGTTTCGAAATTTCAAAGTCTTCTGGTGTGAAATAATTATTATTTGGAGAGGGCAGTTCCCAGGAAATTTTTAACAAATCAATTTTAGGATATTTATATCCTCTGTATCGCTAAGATATGTGGAAGCGAAGGAAGTATGAGTCGATTGAGATGCTATCAATACTATATAAATGAACTAAATTCAAAATCATTAAATGTGAAGTTCAAACTTTAAACTTTTCGGATTTTTCGCATTTGTAATTTCAGGTTTGCATGAAAACAACAGTTGGTGATATTGATATCGAATTGTGGTCCAAAGAATGTCCACTGGCATGCCGAAATTTCATCCAGTTATGCATGGAAGGTTACTATAATGGTACTATATTTCATCGGGTAATACCAGATTTTATCGTTCAAGGAGGCGATCCAACGGGTACTGGTGAAGGAGGTGAAAGCATTTATACCGCTTCATTCAAGGTATTTTTTATTAAATTGGCCAAGTAATAAGTCATAGTGCAGTTTAAAGATATTTTATGCGAAATTCCTTTAAAAAAAACTCATCATGTTTACTATATTTTTCAGTATTTTTGTTTCTGGAAATTAAGTTTTAGTAATACTCGTTTATCTTTTTGATCATGCAGTTGGAGATCCAAAGAACAGGTTAATATCTGGTTCTATTTATTCTTATTTGTAGCAAACACTTTTCTAGAATGAGTTCCACCAACGGTTGAAGTTTAATCGTCGTGGTCTTGTCGGAATGGCCAGTGGAAATGATGGCCTGAATGGTTCACAGTTCTTTTTTACTTTAAATGCAACACCGGATCTCAACAAAAAACACACTCTTTTTGGAAAAGTTTGTTTCCTTTTTGTGTATACAGGAAAATGTTCAAGCCTTTTTAGTAGAATTTCGAAGTATGTTATTTTCGATATTTATAATTGGACGAAAATATGAATAACTTAGAAAAACGGAGAAAAATAGGGTGATTGCCATTGAATGGAATGGAATATATTGAAATGATATGTTTCTGACCAAGTTTAGTTGTTTTTATGGTAATGTATAATTTTTGTTAAAGGTCGTTGGTAATACACTTTTCAATATGTTACACCTGGGAGAATGTGCAACAGGAGAAGATGATAAGCCGCTTACGAAACAGAAAATATTGCAAGTGGAAATACTGAATAATCCATTCAGTGATATTGTTCCACGGGAAAAAAAGAAAGATAAGAGAAAGAAGGAAAAAATTCGGGAAAAAAAAGATGCTAAAAAGTGAATTATTTACAGATGAAATTTTCATGAAAATAGAGCTTTTTTAATTAATATGTTATGAGGAAAGGAAATGGTTGTACCTTTCAATAATTGACATAAATGAAGAATGTATTAAGAAACTGAAGGATAGAGTAAACTTGACAGTACTGGTAATGAAATCTATTGAATATTAGAGAGTGATGAATTAATTCTTTCACTGGATGAATTTCGAATCGACATTCTTTTATTCAAAGCGTGAAGGATAAAATACTGTTCGGAATTAGTGTTACTAAAGTTTTAACAAACATAATTAAAAAAATTGCTGGTAGCGAAAGGCGTTTGAAATGTAAAAAAAGTCAATTCTATTTATTTTCTTGTGTAAGATAGGTACGATGAATTAAGGTGCGAAGGAAAATGAATACTTTTGCGGTTGCGCATACGAAAAATCTTTCAGATATAATAGATTAAATAATTGATAATTGCAGATTTCTTTATTTAAGCATTTTTTCGTCTTTTGGGATGGATGTTTGAAAACTTTATTTATTCTTTTTTATCCTTCATAAACCGTAAAAATTAATGGTTTTAGGAATCTTACTCTTCTTTCATTTGGTGATGAAGCCGAAGAAGATGAAATAAAATTGCTGGAAGCGAACGAAGTTTGTTTATTTTCCAAATGTTTTTGGAATTTAGTAGGATGTTGATTATTGATGAGATAATTGATGGAATGATTCAGTAAATGACTTTGTGTCATATTTTAGAGTATAGCAAGCTTCCTCTATAATGCCATATCAGTGAAACAAAAAATGAATCACGTGTGCCTTAATATCTCTTAGTCTTAATCCGAGTTTAAATCCTGAGTTGTATGAACGAATACTCTGATCCCCAGGACATTTGGTGAATCATAACAACAATAAAGCGTAATTTTGATAAACTTCACCTGCATTTTCCCTTTGTGCTTTCATTCGCATGTTTTTTTTTTCGCTTTTAGAGAAATGCCTCTGTGACTCTTAGCGTTCTGGTTTAGGATCCCAGGACTGGGTTATAAAAATTGCATTCTAAACCATCTGGTGCATTGCGCAAACAGTGGTAACAGTGTTATTGTAAGTTGAAGAAAATAAATTTATTAGATAATATTAGAGGAACTGCAGCAGGCTTTAGGATCAAAATATGCAAAAGCTCAAGTTTGCCAGAAAAGAAGAAAGAAAATGATAATCTGATATGATATGATATGATAGAAAATGATATTTGCAATAGCGTTGATCAAGTAGATTAAATGAATAAAATGAAATATTAAGGGAGGGAAAGACACGTCTGGTTTCGTTCATTTTTATGAAGATTTATTTATCTGTTCGTTTCATATAAAATATTTTATATGGACCATGTAAATCAATTAATTCAATTATATAGAAAAATATTCCTTGAATGATGTTGATTTCGCAACTCCATTTTCAATGTGTTAAATAAATCAGGGCAAAGCTTAAAAATTTTTATATTATCGGTATTTTTGTATTATCTGTTAATTTGTTCTTCATATCTCATTTCTTGAATCTCGAAGATTTCATTCAAATTTTTTAAATGTTCATATTTTTCAGAAATTAAAATGTAAGAGTAAAAGTGCACATGATATATTGGCTGATGAAACGCTCAGTAAAGAATTGGCTGTTCCGATGGAGGAACTCACCGAACCGTCAAGTGTATGTCGAATCCAGTATTTGTTGCTCTCATATTTTTATTTTCATTGAAGGAATAAGAATGGAAGCATACGTTTCTTAATTTAGGCACCGGATATCGAAGATAATGAAGAAAGAGAAACACAGATGGAACGGATTAGAGAAAAACTGAAAAAGCGTAAGCGTAAAGCTACCGGTGATGATCGAGGCGATGAGGAAGATGAAGATTTTGAATCGATGATCAAACAAGAGATGAATGATCGTCAAAAGAAGGAATTGTAAGCTAAATCTTTCTCATAGTTTCGGAAATCTGATTTCAGGTAGATAAAAAGAGGCAGAGATTCTGTCTAATTTTTTAATATATTGCGCTAACATTATTGTTTCAATTATTTCAGAGAAAAAATCACTGCAGAAGTAAAATTAGTGCAGAAAGATTTGAAAGCTATGCTTAAGCCGAAGAAAGAAAAGGAAGAAATAGAAGGTTATTGATTTTTATTAATGTTTTATTTTCAGAGGACATATTTAATATTTTGAAAGGTAGAAATTAGTTTTTCTTCGTTTTTTGAGACTACTGCTTGGATTTAAAATTGAACTACTGGTGAATTACCGGATTTTAATATCTTTTTGAAACGCATTTCCAACTTGATTATGGTAAAAGAGAATATGGTGGCGTAAATTTTGATTTCAATTAAATTTTTATCACTGAAATCGCTCATTTTTCTTGTAGAAGAAAAATTACTAACGGAAGCAACAAAGAAACACCTCGAAATGAAGCAAAAATTCAGGGAAAATGCAAAAGTTAAGCTGAAATCAAAGGATCCACGACGGCAAGATGAGGTAAATTCTTAAATTTCTTGACATTTTTGAAATGTGCTGGATTGTTTAAACAGAAAGATCTAGTTTTCTTTACTTTCAGACTATGTCAATGCTTGAAAAAATTTTGGCGGGACACGAAGGTATGAAGTCAGTCATCTCTGTAAAAACATCAAATTCGGAAAAAGAAGAGAAAGAGCGGGAAGTATCAGTTGGGAAGCTTAATTACGATAATGAAGAAGATTTAGATACTGCAGAAATGTAAGTTCTTAATCACTAAGGAAATGTAATTATTCGAGAAAACTGCACATTACTTGGTGATTGTATTCGTTGGTTTTGATTTAGATTAATAAGGAGTAACTTTAGCTATGAAATCTTGCTAATTGAGAATTTTATATTCCTTTTCATTTAGTGTGTATCGATAAATTCTTATGACTACAGGTTTTCTTTAAGTTTGATACATAAATTCGTGGCGCCTGAAGAAGATAGTAAAGTAAGCAAAGCGAAAGATGCAAATCTACGAGAAGAAAGTGAAGATTGGTACGATATTATGGATCCGCGGAATAAAATAAATCAGCGGAGGAGAGGAGTTGTATAGTTTTATTTATAAGTGAGTAAAGATCTTATAAGCGCTATTCCTCGGTTCAAATGTTTGCATACTTAATTAATGTATGATAAATTAAAGAAGGAAGCATTTGCTAAGCAGATAATAGTGAATCCTATTTAATGTCCTTTGTTTTTTGTGATTCTTTCGATGCGTTGTTAATGCTGAATAATTGTACACTGATTGATAATGTACTGGGATTCTGAATCTATAAAATGAATGTTTACGTTTTCTCATGTTTTGTACAATTTTTAATATAATTTTATGCAATTTTTCTCATTTTCCATATTTTATAGATATAATGCAGTTATTAGAAGTCAAAAAATCACAAATACTTTAATAAACATTAAATACCAACGTATGAAATACTCAAAAATATTATGTTAAAACAGAGTATTGATATGTGGAAATGTACACAAAACGGATAAAGCAAATATAGTTTATAAAAACTGATGCAAAAAAATTTAAAATTGAAATATCGAATCACAGAGAAACTCATATGCAAAAATCAAATTGAAGAAGGAAAACAATGATCACCTTATTTCTGGAAGCAGCTTATATAAATGTTTACCGAGCCTTTAATAATTTTAAACCAACAATAGTGAAAATGCTTCCAAAAAAGTAACCGAAATCAACAGACGCTAATGAAATCATTAGTCAGAGAATATTAGTTACCAGATCTGTCGTTTAGAGTTTATCACTCTTTTTTTTATTTAAATTTGCTTATAAGATTGAAAGAGATGGATTGAAAATTGTTCATTTTTCATTACTTCTCATATGTTGCAACAACCAATTATTCGTTTTTATCAATTAGTCTGTGAAAATTTTCTATTTCGTCTTTTTGCTTCTTTCCTTTTTTATCTTTTCTAAAATAAAAAGAGACTACTGATTGTTTTTTTAAAATTGATTAATCTGAATGATATAATAGTGATAAATATCAAATATGACAGAAAAATGAGGACTAGGATATAATCAAAACTTCATAAAATGCCAAAAAAGATAATGAAAAAAATAGAGAAATATATGTTTCGATTTTAATTCATTACTATCAGATAGAAAACATTTTAAAATGTAATTTGATGTAACTCAATAAATGCAATTTGTAATAAATGCTTCCATCTAAATCTCTTCTTCTTCATTTGGTATTATGTTTAAAAGAAGGAATGAATGAATTGACATAATAATTGCCTGTGTTGTTAACCAGTTGACAGCTTAATTTCATTCACAAAAATTAACACAGAAAAATTATATAAGTGAATTTTGATAATATAAGTATAATTTTAAAGAAAAGAAAAAGCATCACATTCTTACATTAATAAGATATTTACAGCAATGTGTTAATAATTGCTTGCCACTATTCGATATCGCTGATAAATTTTCCCTTAAATAAATCAATAATTAGTAATTAGTGGGAATTAAATGATTAATAGAGTAGCTTTTTTAAACCAACATGATTATAAAATGCCAAATGACAACTAAATCAGTTAACATAATATTAAGTAATATTGTGAAGAAGTGGAAATTGAAGTAAAATGTAAAACCTCTCCGATCTCATTGCAATTTTATCATGGAAATCTTGTTATGAAATCGATATATTGATAAAATTGAGAGATGGAAAATAAGGCAATCAAGTAACATAGTACATTGAAAATATTTCTCAAATCAAATATCCATCTAGAGATTGATATAAATAAATTTCGATATTTAATCGAATGATTCTATAGAATCTTTTTTACCTTGTGTAAATATCAAGACCATATTGTCCGTCTTCATAAAAGTCAACCTGAATCCTTACAATTTCACTACGGATTAATGCTTGACATTGACCTTGTAGGTTACGATCGTCCACCCGATTCTTATGCAATGATGCCACAAATTCTGCCAGCGGTTTTACCATTCTTAATATAATAATTAATAATTAATAATAATAATCATCATGATCATGATCATAATCATAATAATTAATAATAATAAATAGTAACTATAAATAATAATTGGTAACAATAAATAGCAACAGTGATAATAATAATAAATAATAACAAATATTAATAAATAATAATAATGATAAAAGTTTGTTATATATGAAATTTAAAACATTGCTTAAATGTTTGTTGAAATATACCATTCTAAATTTTTGTCTTCTTTTTTAATTTTCTAATTTTATCTTCTTTGCTTTTTCGACTTTCAACTTTCCTCGCAATATTAAATAAAATTTCATTTCTAATTAAAATCTGCTTCAAAAGCATATGAGAATAAATATCTTTATTAAGAGGGCAAAATAGTTTTAACCTAAAATTAATTTCAAGTGATCGACCACAATTAATGATTGCATTTTCATGTGTCAACGGTATCAAACCGAACAAACGATATGCTTTTGCCGGACCCCATTCTCCGCTTGCGCATTCAGGTAATGGTACCATTATTACATTCAACTTTTCACAAATAATCTAGAAAATTTGATAGTTTTTTTGTAAAAAAATATTATTATATAATAATCAAACCAATCAAAATCACCAATCAAAATTGGTTTATCTGATCAAATCAAAAATTAATGATTATTTTACTACAATAAAATCATTTGTCACCAATGGTTAAAATTATAATATCGTTGATTATTTAGCTTAAAGCTAAAATTTTTCTGAGTAATGTTGCTAATAATTATTTCAGCATTAAAACGATACACCGAAAATTTTGTGGAATTCAACGGACAATACTATAACTGTTTGCTTAATAACAATTGAAGTAGAGTATTGCAACTACTATTTCTAAATGATAACAAATTGAGGCAGCAAATAATTAAAAATTTTTATTATAATACTATAATAAAAAGTTTACCTTGAATTTGCAAATACTTTTGAATTTAATCGGTTGACCGGTTAGATAATGTCCAGGTGATACAGTATTTGCAAAAACATCCAACAGTAATGACCTTGTAGATGGACAATGGACACGAAATATAGCGGAATCACCAACAACGGATTGCATAACAAAACGTTTTAGGTTATAGCCATTCATTTCAACATCATCACCATCATAAAATCTGCAAAAAATTTAACATCACATGCTTATTTACAACTTTTTTTTCAGTCATTGCGATCATTCTATCAATTCTTCGGTTTTTCTTAACTCATTCCATCCGAATTTTCCGAATGCAAATAACGAAATGAAGTCGTGCTATGATAAATTTCTGTTAAAATTTAAAATAGTTTCGCTAACTTGAAAATTTATAAAAATTTAAAATTCAAACTACTAATTATTTTTCCTATATAATGATCGACAAATTTAAATTTTTTAAGTCAGATAAATTTTTATGTTTCATACTTTTTTTTTTATCATGAATACCATCATCCATCTATCATGAATGTGAATTCTCGACAGAATTTTAATTATGTGAAAAATTTCATCCATTTAACGATGATTACCTAAGATTATAATGAAATATCAGCGAATTCAAGGCTTCATTTGACATTGTAACCGAAATTGTTGCTGCTCCACTTTGATCTGCCTAGAATTATTTGTTTAGTTGAATTCGTATTCTTCAAAGAACAAATATAATTCTTTCGAGGAACAAATATAAATTTAAATTTTTTAGCCTCTTTTTCGAAATTTTCCATTTTCGACTTTTTTCGAATTTTTAAAATATACAAAACTTTCCATCAATTATTGTTAAACTTTACCTTTACAACAGCTTGTAAATTTGGATCAGTAAAACTTAGACCATAGCGGAAGAAAAGTGAGCGTACGAACGGTAATGCTTCAAATTGTCGTAGTGTTATCGGATTTCTCAACAGTTGCCATTCAGATTCTTGAGGAAAAAATTCGTAAATAAATTCCTGAAATGATTTTGTTATTTCACATTTGATGGATCATTACAAGATATCCGATCAGATCTATGCATACAGTGAGCAATAGAGCTTATAAGATGATCTTTTAAAGTGTAGTTCTATGCCGTATACGATTATACCTGATGATTTTAATAAATTTTTTTTTGAAATGTTTATTTCAATGGTATTCGCTTGTTCAATATGTTAATCTAAATTTGATGATTGATTCAGGGAATGGTGTAAGTAAGAAATAAGAAATGACTTTTTAATATCATATTGACCAATACTAAAATCATGATGAAAAAAGTATTTAATCATATCATTTGAAAAATTTCATGAAATGATTTCAATGAGATTTAAGAATAGAAATTCAGAGAGTTATACACAGCCAGAAATTAAGTTAAACGGAAAATCTTTTCCAGCTTGTTGCAAAAAGATTACATGCAATAAGTTAAAGAAAAATCTCATAGAAATTGTGGCACATTGCGAAATTTTATAAAAATTAAAATGTCAACTTAAGGTGGGGGCGAAAAATGAAAGAGAAATTGAAATATTAAAAAGTTTGTTTTACTTTCATCATAGAAATAATAGCAATAGAGATAAAGAATATGAAGGAGAGAAGCAAAATTTAACAATTTCAAAATTTAACAAAAAGAAAAAAGTTTGACATCATTCATTGATATGAGTGAGAAATTTATGTAGCATTTTAAGACAAAGAAAAAACCGGTAAAGGTCATATAATTTGCAAATAAATTAGAAAAATCTCATCAAAAAAAACCGAAAAATTTTTATTTCCGATAAATTCCATAGAATTATTATTCAAATATATTAAATTAGCATGTCCTTGAAGATAAAATATTTCAATTCTTCTTTTTAAATTTAAATTCCATCCATTTTTGTGAATATTTCTAATTGAAATCCTTTCTCTTTTTTTTGTTAAAAGAAATTATTGTAATGAATAATATGAAAATGATATATGAAATGAAATGAGAAAGAAAATTTTTACATACAATTGTTTTATCAAAAATTAATTTATTAAAATTTTTTTTAAGTTCAATTCAATATGAATTTTAGGAAAGAATTGTTTTGAAAATAATTGAAAACGTTGTATTTTATTTTAATGTAACAAAATTTTAGAGGAAAAAAAAACAAATTTTACAATTTATTTAC